TCTCTCTCTCTCTCTCTCTCTCTCTCTCTCTCTCTCTCTCTCTCTCTCTCTCTCTCTCTGTTCCCGACACTGGCAGTCCATCGCCACGTATCAACGCAGAGTTGTCACCCCGTTTGGTTCAAGCATGCAAGCCAGGTACGTCCGTGCGCCACAGTCCGTCGCGGCCCCACACGTCAACCCCGCATACCCGATAACAGCTCGTCGGATCGCCCAACTTTCGCACTCACTCACCTTCCAAACTTGCTAGTTAGCCGACCCTCACTGATCGCGCTAACTTCGAAATTCTTAGAGAGACAACTAATCGCGCTTGCGAAATTTATAGCGTGCATGCTTGCGCGAGGGATACGAGATTAGCCCCAAGTGATGAGAAAAAGAAGAGAAGAAGTGCCTACGTCTGCATGTCTGGGCCGCGACGCGGGGGACTGAGCCACTCTCCGCGCATCGATTCGGTCATGCAGGCATAGGAAACAATCAGATCAGGGAAAAAGGCGTGCATGCGCGAGCGAGCACAAGGTTGGAAGAGGGGAGAACACGAAGGACATCAAGAACGAAAGGATTAGAGTTGCAATTACACCCGCCAAAACTTTTACAGTTATGTACAACATTAAGGCGCAAAAAGAAATCAGAGCCCAAATCTTGTCTCGGCAAGGCGTGCGTAAGCAGGGAGCGCCACGCAGCAAAATCCAGAAGGCGACTAAATTCCTATCTTAAGTCCTAATTGCAAAAGAAAAATTCCGAAGAAAAACGATTTCGAGCGCCCGTGGGGGGGGGCCTCAACACCAATTGAAAATTCAAAAACATATTCCCGTGCGATGATCGCGCCAAAATCCCCAGCGCCCACAGCAGAACAAGAAAGAAGAAGCTATGGTACAGTTATTCTTCGCGCTCGCTAAGGCGCGGTTCTCCAACCATTGGCACGAGATCTTCCCAACACCGATCCACCATTCTCAGCAGAAAACCCGAAAAGAAACGAGGACATCCATGCAAATTGCTCGCCCGACCCGTTTGTCCATCGCTCGCCCCTTCGACCCGTCGTATTTCCCCAAAGCAGCTTCGCACAGAAAATCGCGCGGTTTCAGAAAGTGGTTCGTCACAGTGAGTGAAACGTGTGTGATTTGACGAACCAAAAAACTTGGTTGTGATTTCACGTACCCTTGGGACAGCCACAGGACCCCAACAACAAAAACAAAAGAAAAACCTACCAATGGGAGAGAAAAAAGAAAACATCCTTTTCCTGGGCTTAATTCACAAAAACAGGCTACCGCTGATTTCCTGCCAAATTCACGATGCTTGACAGTCACACACCTTAAACACTAATGCCTGACAGTCACACACCTTAAACACTAATTCCTGACAGTCACACACCTTAAACACTAATCCACATACATCAGTGGTGGGATCTCCCTCCAGGTCTTTCTCTGTACTTACTGGGCCCAATAGAGTATATATTTATTTATTTCAAATGATTTGATTATTATGACTTTTCTAATGGGATAATTTGTAGAATACCCTCATAAGTTGAGATATATGCCAAAATGCCCCTGAAAGATGTGGGTAGAGTGGAATGCCCTTTTGGGCTGAGATCTTTGTGTTGTGCCCTTGTCGGGCGGGTGTGCAACTTTGCAATCTGGACCTCCCCGTTTGGGCCTTGGCCCTGTGGAATAGCGGCTAGGAAAAGTTGGCAAGTACTGGGGCCTTTTGCAAAGTTGGACCGTACCCGGTAGGGGTATATTGCAAACATGGGCATCCAACCGACGCCAGGGTTATTGCACAATTTTTTTTTTTTTTGTCAGAGGGGCATTCTACCCACATCTTTTAGGGCCATTTTTGTATGATCTCAACTTATGGGGGTATTTTGCAAATTGTCCCTTACTGTTACTTTCATTCATCTGACTCCATTCAAATATAGGTCTGTGGTTCAACAGTTCGTGGGTGTACCAACTGAGCTTGGGTACTAGTAGTTGGTCCAACGTCCCTTGACATGAAACAGAATCAGATGTTCTCAGCTGTTGCTTTCGCTGGATCAAAATCAGCCTGACCTTCCTTTTTTTTTTTTTTTTTTTTTAAATAAAATCAGACTGACCTCCCCTTTTCTGATGGACCTCAGTTTCCTCTCTGACTGACCCTACAGCATCGTCCGGACCCTCCGATTGTTATTTTTACTTTTGGCGACAGCCTTGAGATGTCATCATTGAACTCACCGGCCCCAGGTAATTCCAAATGAGTTTATGCTGGTCGTCTGAGTGTCTCGATTCGAACTTGGGTCTGCATTTCAACAGTACGTGGGCGTACCAACTGAGCTAGGCCCGTTGCTCCGATCCTCCGATTAGGGATCTGATGGACTGACGACCGACGTTTTCGGGCAAAAGACGAAAGAGAGTCGAGCTACTACAGCTGACTGGATTGCCTGACACCTGCCTGCCTTGATGTTGGAGTAGGCTGACCAGGATTGCCACGTGGATAGGACCAGGCACGAGCAGCGGGGCCGGCACGGCCGAAAGAGACGTGGTAGAAGGGCACGGCGACCCGCACACCTGTGCCTTGCGCGTTCTTGGTAAGTGACGTAGATAGATGACAGGGGGGCGGGGTCCCACGTAGCAAGAAGCTCCGTTTCGGGCCGTTGATCATCGTAATCCGCGGTCCCAACTCCAAACGAACTGCGCGAGGAGTTCGTGTACGGGGTGTATTGAAAGGTCTGTTTGCCTGTCTTCTATAAGTGGGGGCCGGGGATACCGGCCACGCCGCGCGGTGGGTTGTGCGTTCTCGTGGTCCACGAACGGCTTGCCGAAATAGAGTTGGTGTTCTTGTGACTGGTTGTGGTCGTTCCTTGTGGTGAACCGGTGCTTACGTCGTTCTTCTTCCCCGTGCTGCGGCGGTGGCTGCATCAGTGAAATCGGTCAAGTGACCGTCTCTGGCGTCGTACCTGTGGCTGCTCGCTCGCGGTTTGATGCTCATGGTTGCCTGTGGATCGGCCGATGAGGGTGAGGGTTAAGGAACTATACTAATGTGGGGAGAAGGGAACGACTACCGGTAGCTGTCGTCTTTGCTGGTTGTATGGCGATGGCGGCGTCAGTGGGCGGAGGCATTGCATTTCTGCATCCACCGCCGGCTGTAGCAGGATGCCGCAGCGGGCGCCGCGCTGGAGGAAGGCGACAGGAGGAAAACAACAGGTGGTCGGTCATAGAGGCGTCGCGCAGGGCGCATCACGTGCGGCTCAGAAAAGAGCTCTTGGGTCAACAGCCATGGGCGACGTCTTTGTTGGGAGCTCAACTGCCGTGGAGTGTGTTCGTCTCGCAGTCGTCCGGTGGAAGCTGCGGCGGCAGGAAGGGGAAACTGGAAGATGAGCGGCCTGGGGAGGATGAGGGAGAAATGAGGACGACGAGGAGGAGGAGGAGGAGGAGGGGGAGGGTGAAGAGGAGGGGAAGAGGCGATAGCGGGGAAGAGAGCAGAGGGTGGCATGCAGGTTTCCTTTTCCCTCTCCCTCTGTCTCCTGGCGGTCTTAAGGCGGGTGGAATGGGTCCAAGGGCTAGCATCTTTAATAGGAGGGACGGAGAGCGCAAAGCCTTGAAGCGAGACGACGGCAGAATCCCTCCAGATTCAGCGGGAGCTGCGGAGGAGGATCGAGGAGGGAATGGAGGGTTAGTGACGGCGAGGTCCCGGTGGTCATCCAACGAGGCTCGTTCGAAGCAACTGAAGAGGACGGCATGGATTGCCGCCACATTGTTGATGGGTGGTGCTGCTGTCTACGGTCAATTCAAGGCTTGCAGGTACGTAACTGAACGAGTTCTGCCGCCTTTTACCTCAGCCGTTAGTTCTTATCTGGGGAGAGAAGTGAGCTTAGGAGGTGTCCAAGCATTGACTCCGCTGGGAATCAAGTTGGGCCCATGTTACGTGGGACCAGATCGACAGGAGTTCTCATCAGGAGAGCTTGCCTCCGTAGAGATTCGGATCAGTCCCGTGGCGAGCATTCGGCGGCGCGAGTTGGTATTAGACGCGGTCATATCGAAGCCGCAAGTGCTGGTCTGTCAGAAACGCGACTTCACGTGGTTGGGCATCCCGCCGGTCCAGGAGAAGAAGTCGTTAAGGACGAGTCAGATGGATGGGCCGGGCGTGGACGCGCGCACGCGGGCGCGGAGGCACGCGCGAGAAGAAACCATGGAAAAACATATGAAGCGACGAGATACGGCAGCGAGACACGCGGCGGAATACGGCTTCAAAACGAAGGAAACGGTCGTCTCGTCAGTATCTGGGAAAGGAGGGGAGAGGGGAGCGAAAACTGAACAGGCAGCCAATGGGGAGGAAGGATCTGGCGCGGGCGCGCTGGAGGAGGAGGGCGCAGGCGATGAGGAGGAGGAGGAGGAAGAGGACGACGAGGCCCCGCATTTCTCCCTTCGTGCGATTGGTCAATGGGTGGACGAAATGACGGAGGTGATGGTGGAGACTCTGGGGGGGTGGGTTGGGCAATTTGGTTGGCAGGGGGGGGGATCAGGGCCTGCGAGCGATGTTCGCGGGATGCAAGAGAGAGTTCTGCGGCGGAGTGCGACGGCGGCGCTAGCTCACTTCAGCGGCCGGGGGGACCACATCGACATCGGGTCGACCACGGACTGGTTGTCGCTGGACCAAGAAGAGGGATCAAGAAGGTCTGGGGGGGGAGCAAGAACGGATGTCGCTGGTGTGGAGCAACAGTCTGTGTCTGTTTCTCCGCTCTTTGACGGTCAAGATAGGATACTGGACGTGGAGGGCGCAGAGAAGGAGGAATCGCCGGCCTTTCTCTCCGGGACTGAAGGAGCGGAGAAGGAGGAGGACATGGTGATGGGAGGGAGGAGGAGGGTACCTGCGTCTGGTAGTCGCGGATGGCTGGAGGAGGGGAAGTGGGGGGAACGGGAGGAGGACTTTCAAGCGGGCGAGAACGAGGAGAACGAGAGGGAGGAGGAGAAAATAGGTACCACCAGCTATTTTGAGAGCATGGGAGGAGAGGATGGAAGGGAATCGAACCACGAGGAGGGGATTGTCGAGCATCCAGGAGAAGGTCAACCGCTCCCGGCGGTCAGGCAAGTTGTGGGCAATGCAGCGACAGCGACTGCGGAGGAAGGAACCAGCAGCGTAACTGATGGTGGAGGTGATGGCGTGGGAGTTCTGGGAATCACCTTTGAAGGGAAAGGAAGGGCGGGCGCGAAGAAGAAGAGGGGGAGTCGATTCGGAGGAAAGCTAGCACGCGGCGAGGGCGGGAGTTTACGGCCTCTGGACTCCGTTTTGCAACAACAACAAAAACCGAAGATCGCCGCCGCGGTACACCCTCACCCTCACCCTCAGGAGGAGGCGTTGAGGAAAAGCCAGCAGCAGCAACCGACGAAGGCTCCGGTACATGCGCAGGAAATGACGAAAAGCCAGCAGCAAACTGCTCCACGTGTGGGTGTGAGCGGCGTCAGCAGCAGTAGGGGAAGAGGAGGGGAAGAGCGGGAGGCGAAGGATGGAGATGGAGAAGCTGCAGGAGGAGGAGGAGCGGGAGGAGGAGTGGCGCCAAGAACATACGAGAAAGGGAAGTTGGGAGAGAATGGCATCGTACATCCTCCGCCTGTGGAGAGGGCTGCTGAAGAAGTAGAGAGGTCGTCGGAGGATACACCCATCGGCATCGTGACCGGCCTGGAAAGCGAGACGGTTGTTCCTGCCGCACAGGAGCTTGGGGATGGGGATGACGTTTTGTTGTCAAAGGGAGACGTGCAGGGGGGGGGGATAATAGTAGACGATGAGGGTGGGGTTGGGAGAAAGCAGCAGGAGCATTCCGACGTGGAGAGCTCAGGGCGAGGAGGAGGAGGAAGGGAGGAAGGAACCAACGAAGGAGGAGAAAGTCCGATTCTTCTCCCAATGACGACGACGAGGAGGAGGAGGATCTATGGCCGTGCGGAGGGCCGCTCTTCCGCTGCCATCGAGAGATGGGTGAGAAGTCAGAAGTGGGCTTCCTCTGCCTCCGATCAAGCCGCTGCGATTAGAAAGCGTCTTGACGTGGAGACAAGATTGGCGAGGTTGGCGCTTCTGAAGTCGGCTGGAGTAAGGAGAGGAGTAGCTATAGCCGTCCATGCGAGAGAGACATGGCATAGAGCCCTGAAGAGAATCCAGGAGGAACAGGCAGTAGTAGATCGTGTGGTGAGAAGTGTTCAGCTTTTGCGCTTGAGGTCCGAGGCAGGATGGACGGTGGTGAGCAGTTGGATCGAAAAAGAATTGTGCGGAGGAGGTGGTACTAGTAGTAGTAGTGGTAGTAGAAAAATTCCACAGAGGGTATCGGAGGCGATTGCAGACTTGGGGAAATGGTTGAACAGTGTGGGGGATTCTGCACAGGGCAGAGCCGCCAGATCGGAAATGAGGCAGGCAGTGAAAGGAGAGGTTTCAAAGAGAGCAAGGGCTGGAAAGAGGGGAGCGAAGGGAGATGGGAGGAGGGTGAGGGGTGGTAGGAAAAAGGCGGGAATTGTCAAGGCAAGCGAAGGCGGAGCGAGAGTGAGCGTTGCGCTTGGAACTATCTGGATTCGCGAGGGGGTTCTCATGCTCTTGGCGTACGGCGACGATGCACCCAGGTAATTAATTACTGATTGCCTGCCACCTCCGTCGTACATTTGTTAAGATCTCTGTCTCACAATGTATATATATGTTAGTTATCACGTACGGACGGCCCCTGGATTGCTGAAGATCTACGTAATGAGAAAGAATACATCTACCGAGATAAAAAATAATAAGCATCCTTGAAATCGCAGACGCACCGAGATAAACAGTAATTATTATTCAGGTAATAACGAAGGGTAAATAAATCAACACAAGCAAGGGTAATTAATCACTAATCAGGATAAGTTAACTAATTCAGTACGGTGATGGGTGTGATCCCTGAAAGTGCAAACGCGGTGATGGGTGTGATCTGAGTAGTAAGTGCAATGCATGCTTATTACCTGAAGGTCAAAATCTCCACCACACCCATCAACTGTTGAAATGGAAATACGGACCTGAGTTCTGATTCCAATGGAATCAGATGAGTGAGGACAACGCTGAATTGACCTGGGGCTAGTCAGCTCAAAGATGATATCCCAATGCCGCGCGGTCCTTAAAAAAAAAAAAAAAAAAACCCTCCCCTCACCACGGATTTTACTGCAATGCACACAAATCTTCCTCGCGATTCAACTCTCAACGACGTTCCCAAGGCTGTTTATCATGCAGATATACTACACTTGATCTATTTTTAGTCAAAACAAAAGGCCGAGAAGGTACAGCAGTCGCATTGTGATTCCTCCTCGTCTGTTCGCATGGTGATACATTCCCTGCGTACTCGCAGTTTGACAACCCCCTGGCGACCTTTTTTTTTTTTTTTAAATAAAAGCTCACGAGAGAGAGAGAGAGAGAGAGAGAGAGAGAGAGAGAGAGAGAGAGAGAGAGAACTGGCGCTTGAAGAACTGATTCAGAAGGGCCGGTTTAGTCAAAGTTTGAACGAGACCTCAACCCTCCTATTTCTTTGACCTGCTGTGCATGAACGAGAGCATGATTTAGTGGAAACAGTACTAATTGGATCTGTTTGCGAGTGCAAAAAAAAAAAAAAAAAAAAAAAAAAAAAACAACCTTCAAACTGACCGGTCCCAGGACCCAGGACAATGCCGAGTTATCTTACTGATTTGAGTCCATCTGGATTTGAACTGAGGTCTGTATTTCAACAATTCATGGGTGTACCAACTGAGCTAGGCCAGTTGGTAGACCGCTCATTTTTTATACCCTCTTCATGGCAATCCGAGGATCGATGGACAGCAGAGTCAGGGCCCCTAATCACTCGCTCAATCTCTCAGATTCTCTTTCTCTTTCATGTCTTTTGTGTCGATCTGATTATATTTATTCGGATTATAACTCACGATCTATTCATCAACGGTCATCAACAGTTACACGTGTACCCCATTCTGCCACGTGGGCTGGGTACAATCTCTGAGTCAGGTTCTTGAACCTCTCCGTTTCGTGGTTGCTATGCTCACACCTATCTTGGGGTTGTGACATTGGGGCTCGCTCTACTGCACGACGTTCTAAACGTGTCCAGACCGGATTTGATCCAGATACAATCATCGGACTGACCCAAAATCCTGAGCGTATTTGGACCATCACGAGGTCCAGATACGTTTTGAATGTTATGTCGTGGCGCGAGGCGCATTGTTGCTGAAATGCAGTGTGACACTTGGGATCCAGGTTGAGCAACAGAAAATATCATGGGAAGCTAGCTGCCTACCGTCTTCCCCCGAACATAACGCACCCTGCTGATAATGAATGTATGGAAGCGATCTTTCCGGTCCGGTACAGCCATAATAAGGGTGCGTTGTGTTCGGGGGAAGACGGTAGTAAGCGTGAGTCATCAGCTCGCGCTGATTACGCGTCCCTCCTCTGCCCTTTGTGCACACCGCCCGTCGCTCCTACCGATTGAATGGTCCGGTGAAGTGTCTGGATTGCGGTGATCTCGGCGGTTTGCCGCTGGGGGTGCTGTGAGAAGTTCATTGAACCTGATCTTTATCATTTAGAGGGAAAAAAAAAAAAAAAAAGTCGTACCAAGGTTTCCGTAGGTGAACGAACCTGCCGGAAGGATCATTAAGGAAAAAAAAGCTGGACCCGGGGTCTAGACCCACTAGCAAGAATTGGGTTTCCTCAACGCACGACTCTGGACGTGTTTGTGGAGATGTGCAGGGGGTTGAGGTAAGTCTACGCGATTTTCTGCACATGTCCACAAACACGTCCAGATCCGGGCATTGAGGAAACTCAACGCTGCTAGTGGGACTTGAGCCCCCAGTTTCCAGCAGCTGGTGCAGTTCCCCCCAGCAATGGGAATGGAGACTCGTTGTAGAGCCATCTATGAGAACGGGCCCGTGATCTGACGGGGGTTGCTGATGTCACCCCCTTGACTGATGCCCTTCCAAAACGATGTCTCTCCGAAAAGGACGAAAAGCAAAAAGGACCAGCACGTTCTTCCCTTCCCCCTTCTTCCCTTCCCCCCCCCCCCCCTTCTCTCCCTTTCGATTTATACTTGTCATTCTTTCGCAGGGGGCCATGCGAATCCTCTATGCCTCAATTGGGGGATTACATGCGAACCTTCTTTGTCTCAATTGGTTAGGCACGCAAGTGGCACTCAGGGGTCGTGGGTTCAATCCCCATGGCCACCTGCGGCACGCTTGGTGCCAACCAACTTACAGATATGTCCTTCCACTCAGGGGGTCGTGGGTTCAATCCCCAGGGCCACCTGCGGTACGCTTGGTGCCAACCAACTTACAGATATGTCCGTCCTGAGGTGGAGATCAACACCGCAGCAATGAAGTTAGCACTTTGGCATACAGTTAGACCCATAACTTCAATTTATGGTGAAAGCTTACTTAGCAAACTCAGAGATCTCATCACAAAACTCAGCAAAGTTGCAGATATCCTTGGCAAAGACACGGATTCCTCAGCCTGCAGACTTCGTGGGTTAGTGTATTCCCACTGGCCCAAATGTGGTGGGCCCATATGTGAGCCGCCTTTCGGGCCCCTTTCAGAAGTTTCAGGCTATTTGTAAAAAAATTCGGCGAATAGGTGAGAGAGGCTTTGGTAGACAGTCCTCGCCCACTGTTTTACCGCAGTTGGAGTGTTAACTCCCGTTAGGACTTTCCTGCATGTATTTGACCGTAATCCTTCTTAGGTTATTTTTAAAAAACTTCGGCGAATAGGTGAGAGAGGCGCTGGTAGACAGTCCTCGCCCCATCAAGACGACCGGATTTGGAGGATGATGCGGGGACATGGATATGGTCACAGTGAACACTGTTTTACCGCAGTTGGAGTGTCAACTCCTGTTAGGACTTTCCTGCATGTATCTGACTGTAATTCCGTTTCAGGCTATTTTTAAAAAACTTTGGCGAATAGGTGAGAGAGGCGCTGGTAGACAGTCCTCACTCCATCAAGACGACTGGATCTGGAGGATGATGAGGGGACATGGATATGGTCACAGTGAACACTGTTTTACCGCAGTTGGAGTGGTGGTAACTCCTGTTAGGACTGTCCTGCATGTATCTGACCGTAATTCCACGAGTGACTGCATGTGCATGCACTACGTGTGTGTTATGCATGCACTACACATCTGTACTCGTTTGCCCTTGCCCTTGCCCTTGCCCTTGCCCTTGCCCTTGCGCTCAGAGCTCAGGAAAAGACATCCTAGTGTGAGTTTGCCCTTATCGGAGGAGGACATAGGAGGGGAGATGGTGCTGTACAAGGCATAAAACCTTATTGGAGGAGGACATAGGAGGGGAGGTGGTGCTGTACAAGGCATAAATAAGTCTAGTTGGTAGTTGTTCATTCGCGCATCTGTTATTTATCTTGAATGAGAATGGAAAAAGAAGCCAAAAAATCTGTGATGCTTTTCAACCAATGGGATTTGCGGATTTGAAGGGTATATGGATTTTCCCCAAGAGAAAAACGGAAACTTTAAAACCAAAATCAGTTTTTTGCACAGCCAGGGTTTTCCCTCCCTCCCTCCCTCCCTCCCTCCCTCCCTCCCTCCCTCCCTCCTCAGCAGACTTAGTCCTCAAAGACGATCTGCCCATGTTGCTCTTCGACTCACTTGGTCAGATCTCATCAGATTCGTACTCCAAAGATTTGAATCAAATTATCGAAATCCAATAATCAACTTTTAATCATGACAAAAGAGCTGGATTAAAAAAAAGAAAACAATGTCCTCCTAGCCGAGGCAGCCAGTAGCTGGGGAGGGCTGGGGCAGGGAGTTATTAATCCACATAAATAGACCTGTGTGTGCGCTGGAGAAAACATCTGAAACCACCAGTGCAACAACTTTTTTTTTTTTTTTTTTTTTTTTGGGTTCGTTTTGGCTGTAGCTGCCAGCCATTTTGGTCCGGTTGCCCTGAGCCTTTGAATTTTCCGCCGGATTGAGCCCATTGTTGTTCTCAAGTTGCCTGGGGCCATGTACTATGTGTGGTGTAAAGTTGTAAACCAATCTATCCACCAACTGAGCGAAATAGGTACTGTCATACGGCCATCCTCAATCCGCTAATCAAAGATCAAAATGAAGTGGCATAATGATCAAATACATAGGAAACGTAACATGGGCAAAGCGAATCGGAAGTACTGTTATGACCTGTCATCACACGGACTGAAACAGACAGCCGATTTCTGAGTCTTGCCGTGGAATGCATGCCATACTAAGTTCCCCCGCCTGCTAAGTCTGCTTGTGTGTGTGTGTGCTGGACTGCATGTCTGTCTGAATGCTGGCTGACCTGTGTGAGTGTGCTGCGTGCCTGTCTAAGTGACTTGAGTGTGTGTGTGGCCCCGTCGGGGTCGTGGATGTGGGGGCAGGACCGGTAGGGCCGGTACTTACCGGTGGCGTGACATTTGAGGGTTGCAGCCAGGAAACACTCAGGTGGCGACGATAGCGGCCCTGCGGCCCTCGGTGGGTAGCGGAAAAACACTCGAGTAGGCCGGTAAGTCCAAAATGGGGTACTTGAGGGCCAGAAGGCCGAAACTTGAAGCACTTGAAAGTCGGGCAGAAAAAGACAAAGTTGGCACTTTTAGCAGTCCGGTAGGCTGGGGGGTACTAGTAGGAGTCCAGGGCCTGTCGGGGGTACTTCAGAATCTGCAATGATGTTCCCGCCTCTCGGCAGGGGAAGTCTCCGGAGTGTGGGGAGGCCGGTAGGCCAAGAGGCACAGCCGAAGAGTCACGCGGTGCGGTACATATCCAGGCAGAGCCAGAGGCTCCGCCTCATTTGCTGGGCGCACAAGTTTGGAGCACGGCATTTGGAGCAGCGGCTGGGAGCAGCGCTGGAGAGCTGCGCTAGCAAGCAGCAAGCCGCGCTTGGCTAGGGAAGGAGAAGGACAGCGGAGGAGGAAGAAGAAGAAGGAGGAAGAAGAAGAAGAAGAAGGAGGAAGAAGAAGGGGGGAGAGAGAAGGAGCCGAGGTACTTACCGGCTATGGTGGCAGCCATCTCCTACACCTTGGAGCAGCAGTAAGAAGGCCCTCCGAGGGAGGGAGCTACTCCAAGCATCTCCGAAGCATCTTGGGGCATGTCGGCACTTAGGGGSACAGCCATAACTCATTTGGGAAGTCCTTTGGGCATCGTGGTTGTACTCTGCAGTCCGCCATAGCCTCGGCCTAGGAAGGAGAGGCGGCTATGGCTATGGTGGACCTCATGTTGTCCAGCTGTAGAAGAGAGACTTGGGCAGTGATACTGGACCTTCATTCCAACATTGTTGTATTATTTATTGTTTGAATTTATAAAGAGGAGGGGGAGATAAGATGCAAGGGAGTTGAGCGAAGAAGAAGAGCTTTGACATTGGTTCTTGCTGGTGTAGATTGTCTTTTCCAATCTTTTCTACTTCTTCTTCTTCTTCTTATCCTCTCCATCCTCTCAAGTTCATTCATTTCCTTTTGCAGTTGGTGAACATTGTGCTGATTGGTGAATTTGTACTTCGCAATTGGTCCGGGTCATAACAGTACTGTTGTTCATTCTTTTTTCTCAATGTCTGCCTCCAAGAGCAGTCCCCTTCCTCAATCTCTCTCCTTCTCTTTCTGTGCATGACATGAAACAGCAAAAGGGAATCAGTGCAGTGACCTCATCCATGGGGGGGGGGGAGGAACTTGCAGACTGGTACAAAGAAATGTGCATAGCGGACTGCTATCCATAATCCTCGTAACGCAATTCCATGTCTGTTGTTCATTCTTTTTTCTCAATGCCTGCCTCCAAGAGCAGTACCCTTCCTTAATCTCTCTCCTTCTCTTTCTGTGCATGAAACAGCAAAAGGGAATCAGTGCAGTGACCTCATCCATGGGGGAGGGAAGTACTTGCAGACTGGTACGAAGAAATATGCATAGCGGACTGCTATCCATAATCCTCGTAACGCAATTCCATGTCTGTGTATCTCCCTGTGCTCGGTTGGAATTGTCTTCTGGTCCCTTGCTTCCTCAATCCATCTTTCCCTCTCCTGTCCCTCGGCATAAATATTAAATAGTGAATACCACATCAAACTCAAATAACCACTTCACTCCTTTGATAACTGGATGTAATTCCAAACAATCCAACCAAGTCACTCCTTTGATCGTTGAACTTGAAAGCGTGCTCCGATTGTCTAGCAGCCGGAAGGTAGATGCCGAAAGGTAAGACCATGGATCGCAACACACCGCTGTTTGCCTGTCGGATATGATATGATTGCCCTGTCACGACTTTTTGTCTGGCTCTTCATTTTTGGGTTATGTCGTCCTTTGCATGTAGCAGCGATGATTATTGCTACAAAGGCCATGCCCTTCTGAAGTGGAATTTGATACCGTCTTGGCTACAGGCATTTGGAGCACCTGAGCGGGTCTGTGCGACTGGGTAAGAATTACCAGAGTGTGCATGTTGACGTGAAGGGAATGGCACAGGAATGGAGGTCTGGAAACGTAAATGGCGATGGTGGCAAGGTAACCGTTGGTGTGAACGTGGACATCAAGAATTCGAAATGGAGCTGCAGAGTTAAGGGCACAAACTTGTACGCACCGGTAAGTTTTGTTTTTTTGTTTTTTTGTTTTTCCCGGTTGAATGCGTGGCCTCTCAGGCCGCCGTGGTCCTCCTATTCTGGAGAGCGTCAGTCTGGTTCCTTGTCAAAAATCGGCAAGTTGCAACAGTGAACACCCACTCAAAGGAGGCCTCCCCACGGTACGGCCCCAGGGGCCCAGACAGCATTGATTGATTGCTTCCCTGCAGGAAGGATTGACTGTCATTGTTGTTCATTCCTTTTGCTGTCCCTTCCCCATATTCACACTGCTGTCTCTTATACACATCTAGATGTGTATAAGAGACAGGTCTGGTTCCTTGTCAAAAATCGGCAAGTTGCAACAGTGAACACCCACTCAAAGGAGGCCTCCCCACGGTACGGCCCCAGGGGCCCAGACAGCATTGATTGATTGCTTCCCTGCAGGAAGGATTGACTGTCATTGTTGTTCATTCCTTTTGCTGTCCCTTCCCCATATTCACACTGTCTTTTTGTCATTGTTACCCATTCTTTTTGCTTCCCCCCCTCCCCCTGTTGGCTATGTCCCTTTTTCATTGTTGCCCATTCCTTTTGCTGTCCCCGCCCCCTATTAGCTAGGGTCCTTGAAAGAAGCAATCGCAAAATTTGAAAAAAATAAAAGCGGGAAGTTAGTAAAGCCCCTTTCTTCTTTATCCTTTTCAGGAGCATCAGGATAAATTGCTCGGACATATGTCTGTCGGTACTCTCTCTTTTCTCCAGCCATTGGTGTATGGAGTATCCGGATGACCGTGATTCGTAGCTGAGCAGAAACAGATCGCAAATTGCAGCCATTGACTTGTGCCTGAAAAATTGATGATTGCAGCTGGTGCCGTCCGAAAACTTCAGCGTGTTGGAAAAAAAACCTGAGCGTTGTTCTAGCACGTGATGCTGAGCAATGTCCAAGAAGGTAGTAGCAGACATTGTGCACAAACGCCGCACAGTACAACGTGGATTGGGAGGATGTCCAATGCCCACTCAGGCCATCACCACACCCCTACGGAGATTGGTAAAAAAAAAAGGGATAGTAAAAAACTGGTGCATGTGAGCGCTGAGGTTTGTCCCATGCGCGATACTCTTAAAATAATGTAACCTTGGAGCATTACATATCACGGAAAAGGATTACATCGTTAGGCAGCGTGAAGTACACTCTACGCCGCACAGTCATTCAAACTGCTCTCCGCTCAGACTGAGATCGAGCACTCGCTCGCTCGATTGTAGCTATATAGCCCAAAATCATGTAGGAAGGAACTCCCAGGATTACCTACAGTCCTAGTCTCATGAACCAGGTGCCTGCGGGTTCACCCGTGTGAATCCCATCCTAAAAAAATATCCTCTTTCTGAATTTTTTAATTTACGTCTTGGCTTTGTCTTATTTGAAACCGTTTACATCATTACCCGTGTGGCTTTCTCCAGCCCAAGCTGAGTGAATATCAGTACCGGGATGTCCCGGATCATTTCCTTGTCGCTTGTACTGCAGCTCATATGTCTGCGCCGGTTCCGTCTCAGCAGGTACCAGTTTACCCACAATAGTGTGGGCGACCTTTGCTGAATCGTGAGCTGTATGCCGCGGACTTTATTCAAACCTCATCTGCCACCCTTACGCTTCTGCCTTTCTCATATCTACCATTGTTGCTGGAGTTAGTTGTTTTGCATGTTTGAGCATCTTAGCACGTCCTGTTCTCTCTCTCTCTCTCTCTCNTCTCTCTCTCTCTCTCTCTCTCTCTCTCTCTCTCTCTCTCTCTCTCTCTCTCTCTCTCTCTCTCTCTCTCTCTCTCTCTCTCTCTCTCAGCGCAGTTGAATGGGCAAACTTCTCACATGCAGCTGAAGAAAACCAAGTACTTGGCAACATGTTTGATGTTCTGGATGACCTAATGACACTCTATTGCAATCTTCGTGTGGCAATACGTGCAGCACTTACGAACTGCCCTCTATTTGATGAACTTACTAGTGGGACTCTCTATGTCTCTCTCTTCGCTTTTCTCTCATCTTGTAGCTTCAACCTCTGCTGTTGACGGGCTGTGTTGTGTTTGAAGTAGATGACATTTTGGGAACATTATCAACAATGGCATGTAACAGGTCGATTATTACTGGCTATACGGATATTGCCGAAATTACCAAGTATAAACAGCCTGATTGATGTTCTCCGCATTGTAATCTGTAGAGCAGATCCAGTGTGTGTGGGGGCGAAGAGAGAGAGAGAGAGAGAGAGAGAGAGAGCATTTAACCATGATTTAAGTGAATTATTCTTTTTTTTTTTTTCACAGCTTTTGGTTGGTTTCCATCGTCGTTTTTCCTTCCATACTTTTTCAGTTGTTTTGCAATCAGACTCGCTATCTTTCACACTTCACATGCATATAAACAGGTTTCGCAGCAAACTGGCGACAAGCGCCCACTCAGAATTCAGAGATATGGTAACCAAGAACGCAGTTCAGATACAAGTTCACTTCAAATGGCTATGGTGGCACAGCGCCTGTACAACTCTCTGTTCACATGCACAGGATCACCCTGGGTATCCCACACGCATCACACTGTACACGCACGCACACACACACACACTCTACACTCTTCTACCAGCTATGGCGGCTATGGCCGCTACTACCCCTATCGCTATGGCTAAGTTCTCCTTCTCGCCCACTTCGTCTTCGGGCTCGCTGCAGACCACCTCGCACAAGTCGCTGTGGCAGCGCTTCCGCATGGCTTATGCAGGAATGAATGAATGGCTGGGCCCTGCCTCTTGATTTATACTTCTGTATCTCGTTGGTCTGCCCTTTCCCATGCCCGTGGTGCACACAGTCCCATGCGGTACTAGCTTGACTGGACTAGGACTGACTGGGACTGAGACTGCTGACTCAGCACGGGTGAACTCCACCACTTGCCCACTTGCCTCAGCCTAAACGTGAGCAACTTCGAAGGGCCAGTACCAGGACCTTTCGGAAGTTTCAGTCCTGGCCTTTCGGATACTGTAGCAGCTACGACCTTGACCTTTCAGGACTGTAGCAGCTACGACCTTGACCTTTCAGAGGTCCTACAGCTACGACTTCTAGGACCTGCTAAAACCTACAACCAACAGGTCTACAGCTCGAACCCCTACAACCTACAGACCTACGACAGCCTACCAACTGCTGCGAATACACAGGTCACGGGTTCAACTCTCGGGGTCGACACGGATACTGTACACAGGTACGGTGAGGACTAGGGATTGAGCCCTGGGATCTGCATCCGCTACTGCGAACAGGTGAATACCGTTTCAGTTTGCTGTTTGTGCTCGCGGGGTTATAAACCTGGTAGAGTCCCTGTAGGGTTAGGCTACCGTCTTAAACAGAATACAACGTACGATCATTATAGCTGTATTTGGGGCAACTTTCAGTCTAGACTCCAGATACAGGAACAATGACCGTATGTTGTATTCGGGTGAAGACGGTAATATAGGCCGTTTTAGACCAGTCAGGGTTTGATTTTTTATCGGGAAGACCCAGTAGGCCCAGGGTAGGATGCATCTCGTCAAAAGTGATGAGCAGGCAGCAATTCTCACCTAGTTATTCATTCGGTAAGTTTTGCTGCTTGGTGGGATGGGAGGTGCGCAAAATTTAGCGAGCAGCCATAGCCAGTGGGATCTCGCACTTCACTGGACGGTTTCTCAACCGTTCGTTGCATGTTGCTCAGGGCTGCAAGGTGCCCAGCTCAACAGAAAGTTCTCTTGGTTTCACCAACTGTTTCGGTGCAAATGTAAAATGATATAATTGCAGTTTTGTGTGAGTTTCCGATCAACTGTGATTGGAAGTCACTTTCAACCTCAGTCAAGTGTGAAAGTGTGATGATGCTTGGAAATGAATGACACTTAACAAAATATTTTATGCCTGCCAAACTGAGTGGATTTTGAACTGTGTCTGCCTGTCACACTCTGGCTGGTTGGCAGAGATCATGCTCAACTCAGTGCACGCAAAGTTGCAAACTCTACTAGATGCTGTTGTAAGTCACGTGAAATGCGAGTCTTTGGGCCTCGCTCCACTACTCAACGCTCTATATGTATCCGAACGTAATCGGACCAGATACATTGGGTTGGATCGAACTAGAAAGTTGAGGAATGGGATCGAGGCCCTTTGCAACTAACAGTATCTGTGGGGGTCAGAAAGTCAGAAACCTACCCAAATTCAGGAACCTTCTGGACCCGTAACAACTTCGCCACCTCTTGACGGGGAGTATATGTAATCATAGGTAAACGATCGACGGTAGACGACACGACATTTTCCTAGGCCCTCGACATACGTAATCGACCTAAGAATTCCGTATTGAAAAAAAAGGAGGGAGAAGGCAGTGATGGAATGCAGCAAAATTTGTGTTGTGCAAAAGAAGTCCTGCGCGCATGTGGACTGTTGGGATTTTCGGTTTCAGCCGCGCGACAATGCGGGTGGTGGGCAGGTGGTGGGCAGACATATCCCAGATGGAAAGGCTGGTCTCTAAAGTTAAAACCTGGCCTCTTCTGATCTCAGCCGGGCGTGCTGGCGAGGGGTTGCAACGCAGATGGAAAGGTTGGTCTCATGAAAAAGTTAATAAAACCTGGCCTCTGATCTGGGCCGTGCGAGCTGGCGAGTGGTTGCGATTCATGGCTGTCCTTAAATTTTTTAGGACGGACGTGAATCTGTGGTGCTCAGCGGCAGGCGGCTCAGATTGCTTAGTGATTTCTACAGTGGTAGGGACTCAGGGGCAGGGGGGGATACACAAGAACAAACGCAACAGGCTCTTGCCGCCGGGATGCAGTGCAAGCTTTCAAATGGAATGGTGTCGCTGACCACGCACCACTGCTTGAACGGACAGAGCATAGCGAATAAAATACACAGGACAGGTATGATGTGCAAGCCTAACACTTGGGATTATGTCAAAATAATGTTAATGTTCTGCTAACTTCTAAGTTACATAATAGGCATGCCAACCAGACCAGCATTCTGTCAGCTACATGGAGTATTGATAAAGTGAGGGTGTGAAGAATTTGTCAAACCGTGTCAAACTTCAACTTTGTTACATGTGCAGCACTCAAAACAAACTGAAGTGAAGACAAATCTTGAAGATGGCAATTGGTGAAAAAGCTTTACACTGAGCTCAAATCTTGTGGACAAAGGTACAACAGGTCAATATAGGCTCATCTCAATCTTTCCATTCTTTTGTTGTTATCGAGTTCAGAAGTCTGTGCAGGTTATGAAAATCCTGATGTGAAACGACGGAGGCAATACACTGAATACAGGCATTTTCTCTTGATACCAGACATTTCTGAGCTACTTTTGTTTTCTTCTTCTCTATGTTGACTATATATTCAGGTTCTTGAGAGCCTTCTGGAGGTGCCTGTCAAGATAACAAATGGGCGGTTGAATGGCGAGGTAAGCAGTTCCACAACATATTCCCTCAACTATCTTTGTATAAACAGGCGTGTATTTTCCCTCGACTATCTTTGTATAAACAGGCATGTATATTCCCTGAACTATCTTTGTATAAACAGGCATGTGCTGTTGTCCATCAGAGAAAGTATCGCCTTAGCTGAGTTGGTGTCTGCGGCATTGGTGAGATTGAACATCTGATGAGATTGAACATCTGATGAGTGGTTGAGGTTTCATCAAACTTTTTTACAAGCATGCCACTTTGTGGAGCTCTCTGCGAAGTGGATATGACACGGCACGCACACATGACATAGGTGACACGTTTTCAGGCCTGGGTTGGAGGGCTAGGACACCAACCTCCTCATGAAATTCGTACAGAAATCAGGTGTTCACGGGCACTACATATCACAGCCAAAAACACCCAATGTGGTATTTGGGGAATCTTTTTAAATAGAAAGAATATCCTTATTATGTTCACCGTCACTTGACCCTTGTGTCCTGCTGCTCATCATCCCAGTTGAGTCTAGCGTCCGAGTCTGAGTCATGTTCGTGATTGTGTTTTCACTCCCTCTCCATCTCCCTGCTGAATCCAATGCTTGTTGCAGTGACCATTCTTGATTCTCTGCTTTCACGAGGTTTGTTTTTACTCCCTCGCGGATTCTGGATGTCCACAGTCACACCATCTGGCCAACTATACTAATTCCCATGTGCATGAGCTGTCATGTGGCTTTCGGGAGTACTAGGTCTACACAACTTGTCTCTCTCCTCAAAAGGGTGAAACACTGAAAAGCGGTTTTGAACAAATGTGATCTCTGGTGTATTCATTGGTTGGCCTGCAGGTGTTCCTACATATGGGGCCTGGAGATGTCTTTCCAACATTCCGTGGCCGAGTGGATGTGCGGAATGGAGACATGCACATCTTTGATGCGCCTTCGCCTTTCACGGTAAGCGTGCTGTCCGTTCTGGCTCCCAAGGAACTTACACATGCATTGGAACCTTTTTCACAGAAATTGGATTTCTCAGCAATCAGATAAAAAAAACAACGTTTTCTCAGAGAAGTGGAGTATGCGCGCACTGGTTTCTACGATGACGTAAAAGCCATGGAATCCAATCGCTAAAAACTAGTAAAAAGAATATAGATCCATCAGAAATTGTAGGCATATTCCATTCCGGGAAATGCAGTAAAAGCTAATGCTAGAAGAAAAGTGGCTGATATGTCATGAAGGGCTTGTTGTTTTGATTCACCAGTATGTCGGACCCCTTTTTCCCGACACGGACTTGCGCTGTGTGCCAAAAGAGAACGAACTGCCAGCGGCACACTTCTTTCTTTTTCAGTTGGCGAAGCCAGCCTTTTTGGTCCGCTAGCACTGCTTATTTGAAGAACCCGGATTGTCGCAATTTCGATTTCAAGTTTTGCCTGGAGGAGGTGATGGTGGTTCAATCCAGCTTATATAGAGTGGTGAGCCCAAGGTACAGGTAGAGGAGACTTGAGCATTGGATTTCTCAATACATTGTTGAGTTTTGCTCCTCCGGTGAATCTTCATTTCCTCACTGTCGTCTGTAAATAGAGCTTTGTGAGTACATCCCGGATGATTATGACGATGCAGGCCTACGGAGCCCGAGTTGTAACACCTTCCTTTTTTTTTTGTCTATCTTGCAAATGCAGTTTGCTGGATGTCTGAAATTGTCTGATGTCTTGGCACTAGTTTCCTGGGACTGCTGATTGTTCACTCATGTAACTCCACAAATGCATGGTCACACAAGCTTCTAATTTTTTGAGAAATCTTAGATATGATGAATTTTGTGTGCGGGCGTAGCCACACTGACCGTACTTTTTCAACTTATGCTCTGTCAAGATGGTTTGTAGAGCCTCATAATTTCTGCCTGCAGCGGAGAGCTGCAACTCTGGCAGAGGTCGGGCGTCAACGGACCAAAATGGCCGGCGACGCCAGCTAAAACAAAACAAAAAAGGTCGCGCTGGCGCTTTGGCAAAAGCTTGGTGCAGAGTTGTACTCCGCCTCATCAAAAAGAGACTCGGAGGTATCGGTGGCTTAAAGCCTATCAAAAGAATCTGAGCTATGTATATCTGAGGGATGTTCTGCATTGTGACCTGACACACTTCCTGCTATAAAAGGTGTGCAAATCTTTGGGAACTCGGGAAGTTGATTTTCTGAAAAATCTCTTGGGGGCATGGTTACTGTTTTGGATGGAATCTTATGCTCAGGGAATAAATATGCAGTTGTATTTCGAGAAGGAGCGCATGTACATGCATGAGGCTACTGGTCATTATGGTGCAGTTCCACTGACGGTTTCCGGTGACATGGACCTGAATCCTGATGGAGGGGAGTACCGATTGAGCTGCCAGGTTTGTATTGGAAGTGTGCTTTGGCCTTCTTTGTTCTGGTATGTCTGTTGGTTTGCTTGTTTTTTGGCAGCAGTAGTTTTGGCCTGAATTTTATAGTGCAGCCAGATCTGGGCGTTTGGTGACAAGCCGTTCTCCGCCTACGAGCTATTGGTACTAGCCAGGGACCCCACCAGGATAGAACACGACCCGGAGCTTCCACAATGGCATCCGATTTTGACACGCAGTTAACAGAGTTTAAAAATTTGCAAGGAAAAAAATCAAGATATGGTTCCTGGTAGGATACATCGGGATAGAGAAGGAGGCATGAGCCGGACCCCAGGGGTTTAGGGTTTAAGAAATGGTTTCCGGTATGATACATCGGGATAGAGGATGAGTAGAAAGTCTGGGACAGACAGGATTCTCTTGCGAGCGGAGGCTCGTAAGCGAAGCTGGGTAAGGCTCCCAAGATAACCCCGGGTTGAATTGTGAGGTCCCCAGCCTCGATCTATCTTTGGAATGCACTTCGCCTTTTTTTTTTTTTTCAAAAGAAAAAAAGAAGAAGAAAAAAAGTGAAAAATCAGGGCAATATGGCAGTTTCAGTGCAAAATTCGCGGAAAATAATATCCCGTGTGTTACATGCTGCGCCTGCACACGAGGGCCATTTTCCAGGCCCTGCGTCCCTCAGGCTGAAAGCCTGAAAACCAGCGCCTACAGGCCCCGTGACCATTCAGCTCGAAAGCCTGAAAAACAGGGGCCTACAGACCCTGTGTTGTTTCAGACTAAAAATGGCAGTAGCCTTTTTAGCCTGAAACGAAGGGCCATTTCCGGTCTGTCATCAGACCGGCCTGAAACTCAGGCACCGAACCAGGGTTTTAGGAACAGGCTATTTTTGGCCTGTTCCCACGACAGCTGGAGCGCCAGCCCCTGGCTCAGTTCGGCATTGGCAAGAGCAGCCTCCTGGACTGCCCGCCCTGCAACTGCAGGCAGTCGGAGGCAGTCAGGAGGCAGGCCGAGATAGTACATAGGGACTTCCCATGCACTTCACGGGTAGGCAGGAGGCAGCCAGTAGTCTTCAGGATTCGGCAGCAGCACTCTGGAGGGAGCGCTGTAGGAGTCGTAGTAATGTTAGCATTAGTCCTCAGCGCTGGGCGCCAGTAGGTAGTTGTAGTCTTCAGCGCTCGGCGCCATAGCTAGGATAGTACTAGAGAGAGAGAGATTGGGCGGAGGCCAGGAGTACCTACCTGCAGCGCCGTTGCTCCAGCTTCGTCTTCGAGGTACCTGCAGCACAGCGCCAACTTCACAGGTTAGTACCTGGCTCGTGAGAGAGAGAGAGTTCTTCTTCTTCCTCTTCTCAGTCCACCATCTCCCTCTCACCCTCTCATTATCTGACTTCACTGCATCAGCAGACTACGAGAGAAAGAGAGAGAGAGAGCTTGGTGACACTGGATCCAGACTCGACTTTTGGGCTTCAGACGTTTCGACGAGGGATTATTTGAGACTTGTGACAAAGACTTGGTGTTGACGACACTCCCATCTCTCCCCCTCTTCTTCGTCTGATCCCCTCCTCTTCGTCTGATCCCCTCCTCTTCGTCTGTGTATGTCTGGACCTGGCGCTTCCTTCCTGTGTAATAGCGCCAGGCTCCTTCACACTTTGTGATGAGCATGATGTATGTTTGGTCTGCGTTGAAATATTGATTGGGCTAGTCATTAGTATTCTAGCATTCTGCTTCGCTATCTTGTACAACGTGACAGGGGTCAGTCCCGGTCAGGTCAGGATTTGTATCTCAGTCTTCCCTGCGCTATTCAGCACCATTTTGTATGTATCGGAATGCACATTGCTTGTTGAGATTCTACTTGCACTGCATTGTCCATTTAGTCCTTTTCATCACATTGCGGATCCTCGGTTATTGTGTACATCGCCCGACTGGGCATGTTAACACCTGTTAGCCACGTGTGGTGATTTCAGGTCCCTAGGGATCGAAGCAAGATTTGGATTTAATCACTGTCTGGGAACGGTCAAAGCGCTGGTCAAAGGGAGTCATGTTAGCTTTGACTTCTTTCTTTTTACATGTTTTTTTTTCAGTCTTTTTCTTTGGTGACTGCTGGACAGTCGCTTGCCTAACTTTGCAGTCTGGGATTGAGTATTATTTTACCATCTGAGGGATCTTACATGATTGATTATGCTCTGGACTGGGGACTATTTTCATCTCTTCATGAGGTATCGTGCTCTCTGCCTTTCTGTTAGGATCTGTCTTTACAAAAGCAACAGCTACGATTTCTTAAAAACAGAAATATTTGGGGAATTAATTTCTGAGGAAACCATGATTGATAAATTTAGGTGCCGCAGGTGATGTCAAGACATGGTAGGTAGGAAGGGGTAATCCGAGGTGCTGCGTGTTAAGTCAAGACCTGGTAGGTAAGTCCTCCGCATTGTCGATTGCTTTGGCTGTAGATCATCTGGCTCTGTGTCCACCCACTCTTGCCTGTTGTCTCGCTGGTTCCTGTGTATGGCCACTATTGCTGTCCCTCACTCCTTTATATAATTGGGTCTTCTGTTCCACACTGTGTGTTTTCGAATACTACACTGGTTTCATGGGTTCATCAAAGGTTTGTGTCTGTCTGCATTCTACATTGATTGTTCTTTTGACAATTGTGTTTGCCATCTATACCAACAATGCCAGTCTTGTTGCTGTTCTGGATTGCGGAGCAGGTATCAGCTGTCGAGGCAAATGCATTGATGAAGACATTAAAAGCGAGACCACCACCTTACAGTGTATGTGTCGACCCCCTCCTCCTTGTGACCATTTTTAGATGAGCTAGTCGACTATCACTTTTACTGGCCTTGATGCTGCACTGCACATCAAGTTGATTGCGAACAATGAAGTTGTGTTGTAGACTTGTAGTACTGTGATTTCGATTGGGTCAGATATTTGTTTGGGCTTTAGCTGACATCGTGGCCACTTGGGCGCCATCACGCATCCAAAGTTCCTAGATCATCGGCAGCTCTGATACTATTGTCAATAATTAGCAAGACCATTCAATTTGAACCATATTAATCATTCGATCTGAACCATATCAATCATTCAATTTGAACCATATCAATCATTCAATCTGAATCATATCAATCATTCAATTTGAATTTTGAACCATATCAATGTGTCCTTCGGGATATCCATTAAAATTGGAACCATACAGAGAAGATTAGCTTGTCCCCTGGTCAAACAAGCAAAACAAAAGAGAACCATGTCAATCATTTGCACTTGGTTGGAAGCAATCACACTTGATAGGAAGTGATTTCATTTGATTGGAAAGCTTCACTCAAAACTGGAATCGAGTATGCTACATTGCACACTGAAATTGTTGATGAAAGTTCATGAAACTAAGAAAATTATATGTTTACCTGAGCACCTACTGCCCTGAGCACAGCATCAAGCAGTCTTGAAGATGATGCTCTATTGGGCAAGAACCAACAAGCTATGGCTGCGCCCTATCTCCTTGCTACACACGCTAAAAATAGAGCCACTCGGTTCCTTGTACTGCCAAAGTTTTACGAAAGAAAATTGGGATGAATCAGCTGCCCCGGTTGTCACTTTGGATAAGGTGCTTCAGTCCTGGCCTATTGGGCCTACCTCTTAAAAACTATCGAGATTCTACAGTCTAGAAGGGCACACTCTAGCCTTAAGCCAACAGAGACTACGTACAGGTCTTGGGTTCAGATCCCGGGTTCAAATCCCACTGTCCCAACACTCTACGTCAGTTCTGTCCTCCTTGCTCCTCTTCAACATTGGAAGTCTCGTACTTGCCTCTACTGACTAACGTGGGCTGCTCCTGCATCCTTCCATAGACGGGCTTCTCCCCTCATCTTCCTTCACACACTCTTCCTCCTCACCATCAAGCTCCTCCTCATAATTGCCTTGCTCTGCCAACCTCTTCCTCAAGGCGAAGCAGCAGCATGGCTGCTGCGTGAATACCCGGACCATCACGTGGAACAATATACTCTTGCTGCCTGGCTTACCTCACCCAGATATCTCTAGGACCTATCTGTGTCATTCCCATAAGCTACGGGTTCCGACCTTTTGGCAGGAACATTGTTGAAGACTAAGTCCAGATTCAGTTTGGGACGATCATGACTTTACCTCCTCGCCCACCGGGCCTGGGGCCTACAGAGTTGCACGAACATCCTTACCAGGTCCCTATTTGCTTCCTTTTTTTTTTCTCGATAAAAACAGGTCTCTTATGGCCCTGGCTCCTTGTCCATTCTGGGGGCATCAATCCGGTTCCAATCCACCGGCAAGTCAAAGCAGAATACATGATCAACACACTTCAGGCTTCCTTCTGTTTTGGGTGAAGGACTCCTGACCAGTATTGATTGCTCCGATAAGGAGGATTGACTGTCAGATGGCCTGGCCCTCTTGTTGATCCTCTCAGTCCGAACTAAGCATGTCGTGTATGGGCCTCACTCCACTACGCTTGACCCTCAAAAAATTCCGAGAGTGCTTCAGGCGCTGTCAGTCGAGAGACGAGCAGGATTTTAAGGCCGTCTCTCCACTTCACTCGACTCTCGAAGAAAGCCTCCGTTCTAGAGCATTAAACGACAAGGCCAGCCTGTCTTCTTGGCCGCGATTACGAACACACCCTCGAAAAAGGAGCGCTGTTTCAAGGGTCATCTTGACCACCCAGGGGCTAGGACAAAAGGCCCGTGACAGGCGGGCACTCTCAACTCTTCAAGCGCTCCTACCTACTGACACTCCTGACAGCTCTTGAACTGCGGTTTCAAGAGCTCGGTTCAAGCATTAGTGGAGCGAGACCTACTCTTGACGTTTTCAAGAGCGGCTGTGACAGCGCTTGAGCCAGGGCTGGGCCGGCAACCGGCCGGTTCACCTCCCCCGGTCCAACCGGTTCCGGATCGGTCCAGGGGTGGTCGCGAATGTGTACGAGCGAGAAAGGGAGAGAGGAGATCCGATATTTTCTATCAGAGAAATGCCTGCGTTTGTGGGTGCTTGCGAATGTGTGTGAGCGAGAAACGGAAGTCGGAGGGAGAGAGGTCGGCTCCTGATATCTTTGTTTCAAGCGTCATCCTGACTCATCCATGCAGGGTAGTCACGCCGACGGTCGGCGGCCCTGGACCCGTCGGCTGCC